CCCAGTCAGACCATGTTTTTTTCACTGCTACACAGAAACTTTTGTCACCAAAAGTGATTTACCTTTAAAAGCATATACTTGGCCTTTCAGCAATTTGTGAGTCAAGGTACGTATAAATGCAATTTCAGTAACTGTTTTTCTATTTACATTTTTTATCTTAGCTGTGCCTGACTACTTAATGACAAAGACGACAGCTACCCATCTACACCAGGAGAACTCAGCCTCTATGCAAGCATTTCCAAACACACATTTACTTCTGGTTGCACTGTGAGAAAAGATGCAAGTTTCACAGAATTACAGCTCTAACTCAGACTGCAGTTTCAGAATTTCAGAAACCGTATGTCAGTCTGTCTTCACAAGTTAAGGTGATTTCCCATGGCTTTTTGTCTGATTTTTTTCATTATCAGCCACACTATCCATCTCCGACTTCGCTGTACACCAGTCTAAATCCTTAGCCACATGTCCAGACTGCTTTCTGAACATGTCATTCATATAAATTGTAGTCCAGATAACTCTGAGGTCAGGATGTCAGTCCTAAATCTAAAGAGTAAAAGGGCCACATGGAGTATCAAAACACAAAGTGTTGTGACCCAAAACACTACTGAATGGAATCCACCACCTTTAACTTCATTACTAACCTCCCTACATAACATTTTTTAAGTCTGCGCTTTGTTTAGCAGACTGAAAAAATGTGCATGCATACATATTACCCTGAATACGTAGTTTTATCTTGACTCTTTCAGGAAAATAAAAAAAGAACACTTCAATCGTGGACGACAAGCATTATGCAGACATCAGCTTTTACCACCTAAAAACCACAGCTTTGTAAATAAAGCTCAACCTTTTCTAATTTGGTAAGAGGTCTGTAACATTTTTATAGAGACACATTATTTTGGATGCATGCAACTATTAAAGAAAAAATTAAAGAGAAAAACTCAGCCGATACCAAAGTTTCCGTACCCAAGCAAGTTTGGCAAATTCAATTCATACATCCCACGGACAGAAACAACTCTCAGTTTCTGAGATTTAAATTTGCTTTACATAATATGATGCCTTACTAATATTCAACTTCAGCCATTACAGCATTCATGCAGATACGCATTAGAACACCTATTTTTAAAACAATTCATACAGACATCATTTGCATTAGCTTCCTGGGCTTTCTGCAACTTAATTCCTTAAGACAGTTGTAAGCAGTATTTAATTAAGAAAAAGAAAAAGGGGCAGAGAGATAACTGTATTTGTTGTAATTATATGATATTGGTAGCAGAGTATGACTGTAAAAACAGAACATGATGTAAGAAGCACAGGTTCTGAAGAAACACAAATCTGGGCTGGATCCCATTCAAAAGCTTCAGTTTCATACTATTGTATATTGATGACCAACAACGAGCATTTTTCACATTAAACATGAGTTATCTCCCTTTAAACTTGCCCTTGACCATAGCAGTTGATGATTATGTGCTGCCATCTAGCAAACGTTTGCAGAAAAGCTTAACTTTGGAAGCTATCCTGTGACAAGACACCTGAAAATTCTTAGAAAGCTTTTCAAAATAGGAAACATATACAAGACAGCAGTACTTTTTAAAAAAAAAGATTCCTTCAGTCTGCATGCTTATAAAATTAAACACAAAAAAGATGATAATACAATTAGGCTTAATACCTACATAGTAATTGAAAAACTTAATTTTTTCATTCTAGAAGTTATGTTTTCCCTTGTATAAAAGAATACGATGAGTAGAAAATGGTAAGAAATATTGCATTTTCCTCTTTTTTCTCAAAAACTCTAATCTTCACTGTTTCACTTTGTTCTATCTGCAGTCTTGTACTTCCTCTGCCCATCAACTTTTCCCTGGGCACAGAAATCAAAATGCAACAATCCCATACAGGAATGGGATGTCTGAATTACAAAAAAAAAATGTGTTTTTTAACTCTTTTCAATCTTAATTTTTCAGTCATGCAGTCACACTGAAACTATACCATATTATTTGCCAGATGCACAATGGCTTCTGAAACTTACTGGACCTTGCTAACTGTGGGTTCTGCCAAGATCTTGCTTTTTTCTGTTACTATCTAGGTATATATGCAACTAGAGAAAAAGAACATTTATACACTTTTGGCACAATTTGTCAACATGAAAATAATGAGTTTCTGAAGCTGTTATACTGATATAAACAACTTTACATGAAAAAAATAAAATAAATGATAAATAGAGTGTCTAAACTAATTACTCTGTAAATAGCTGAGTAATTATGACTGATTTCTTACATTTTTCTGTCTTATTTCACCTGATCATGACAACTGCAATTTCCTGTTATTTTCACCCAGGATCTTTACCGCTGTACAGTAACTTCAGATCCCATTCATAGTCACCATTCATACCATTTTCATTCTTTGTTCCCTATTAGACCAGAATAGTTGGGAGTATGTTGCTTCATCAAGGCACTATTCTTTAACCAAATAATAATTTTTTACAATAATAACTTTTGAGGTCTCTACTCCTTTCCAAATTTCTCTGAAATTAGCCAATTAATTCAAAAGCTGTCAAAAAGGAGACACCCATCACAGGCCTTTATTTGTCTCATTTCCTTGGAAGATTAGATTTTCATCATAATAATACTGAACTTTCGAGTTTCTTTGCTGATAAGAAGTTAAATCATCACCCAATTAAATGCCCTTTAATTTCAAAACACGTATACACTTTACTTCATTATAATATTTGAACCAAAGCCTTTAGTTTTAAACTATACTAACAAAACTTTCCATTAACAGTGTGAGGGTTTTTTTTGTTTTCACCGAGATAGCAATACCAGAACAAGTACGGACATTGAATTACACCGAACTGAAGCTACCTACTCAAGTGGTAAGTAATTATCCTTTCCATTCAGAAGCAAGCTAAACAAGTATATCTTAACTTTACAAAGCAGATGCTGTGCAATTTTTACTTATCACAATACAGCTTATAGGAATGCTGTAGACACTCCAGAACAAAGAAGTTTTTGGACATCAATAACTATTTCTTTTGTTAGTTACTAGTATCGAACATAAAACAGGAAGCAATGAAAATACAGGTCAATTACCATTAAGAAAGGTTCCAATTGATCTGAGAAACAATGGTCTTAGACTATTATACTTCATGATATTAATTAATAGCAAAAGTCTGCCTTCACCAGAATTAAAACCTGGAATACATAAATATAATAAGGCTGACTTCACAAGGCCTTACACAGAACTACTGTAAAACCAGCTCAGACAGTTTATCAGCTATACAGGGGTCACAAAGTTCTTTCTGCAACAATTATCATCATGCTTTTTTGACATAGCCTAATAGGGAAGACATTTATATGATCCCTAGCATTGGTTAACTGCAGAATGCCAAAGGTGCATAGTACAGAGCTGCTTAGTAATAACAATAAATCTTCCCCTTAGCAAACTGGAAGAATACACAAGAAAAATCCAACAGTTTGTTTAAAACATTAGACTTTCTAGAGTCATTACTTTACTCATGCTCAAATTCCACCATTTCACCTTTATTAGAGGAAAATAAATATTTTTTACCAGTAAAAAGTTATTAAAAGGGCATCTCAGTAATAAATACAGAGGATACCCAGGTATTGGCAAAGAAAATACTTATTTCAGATTTTATGACTAGTTATCACAGTAATTTATACAGGTCTGATGCTTATGAAAAGGCATAGGTGTAGAAATGGAAAAAAAATTTTTAACCTATTCATACTAGGCCTCCATCCTACCCTTAGCCAGCCTGACCTTACGTCCCTCTTGATATGATGGCATCCAGGGCTTCAGTCTCTGTACTACCTTACAGTATAGACCTGTTATTAGAGAGTGGCTACGTTTTGTCCAAGCTCTGATGAAAGCTCCCACCTCCAGAAAATCTAAGAAACTTACTTTCAGTTTCCTCTTAGGATAGAGTGATGTTTGAACCATAAGAAAGAACAGCATCCCCAGTGTACTTACTGGAATTTTTCAATCTTTTGTACAGAAACTCATCGTATTCTACCTTTTTCTGCAGAACTGTTTGGTCATTCCTCAGTCAAATCACGGTTCTTTTTTTCATGCCTTGTTATACGAGTATCTCTTTGGTGAAAGACTATGAATCACCACCTGAACTTGATCAATCAAAAAAAAACCCTGCTTCAACAATGAATGAAATACTCTTCTTTCTTTGATGATTCACAGGCATATTTCAATGGGAAATCACTCACATTTGAACCTACATTTGTTAACAACAAGGACCAAAAGCTTGTAAGAAACTATTGAGTAAATATCTATATTTTATGTAATATCAAACTACATTTTTTCTGAAAAACAGGCTACCTCTCACTAAATTCTTGACTTGCAAATGAACCACTCACAGAGTCACTATATACCTAGAACATAAAACTTACTTTCAATACAAGTATAACCTGTGAATACGTGTATAATTTGTCATTTTCGTTCTGCTTATGACATATAGTAACTTTAACCATACTGTGAATTATCTGTGAATCCAATGCCATCTGCAGAAGCTGATACAACACATGCTCAGCGGAACTGTCAGCCACTCTTTAGGTGTTGCAGCAAGAGTTTAAAGAGGCCGGTTGTGTCAGACTTATTGTACACAATGATTTGCAAATGCATAGTCAAAACCCACCAAAAATGAAACACACTCTAACTAATTTAGTTCTGAAAGAAATACAAAACATCTAACTTCTTACAGAACAGGAAACAATTAGTTCTAACCCATTAATTCCTCATTCTCAGCCCCTCCACCTCTAAGACAATAGGGCAACATCATATCTTTCCTATCCAGAAGACAAGCAGCTGAGACTTTGGTAGGTCACCTATAAAAGTTCAGTGCAAACACAAACACAGTAAGACATGACATGATACGACAATCATATGACACTCAATGACAGGACGTTAAACCGAAGCACACATGCCGACAATTGTGCAGCTCCCCAGTAAAAGCAGTTTATCTTCGCAAGGCACGTCGTTACTTTCACCACACAGCCCTCTGGCTGAGGCCCACCGCGCTGCGCAGCGTTTCCCGGGGAGGACGGGGGGGCAGCCGTCTCAGGCCGCATGGCGACAGCCGCGGCCGGGGGCGCCCCCGGGGCCTCCCCA